GGAATTAGCTGGGCATTAAAGTTCTTATTGCTAGTATCCTGTCTGATCACTACATTTGCTGAATCTTTGGACTTCATTATCAGCTAGTTTTCAGATAAATCATTTCTCTTATTTTCTCTGCAACTTTAAAGAAAGTCCTATGTGTGATTGTTGTTACTAGGCATCTAAATAAATATGAACTGCAATATCAATTAATATCTCATTGTCTACACTGTTATTCTGTTCTTGTGATATTTAAGTTTTGTTTCTTTGCTGTAAACGAGTACTTGTCCTTATTGAGATATTGCTCTGGAACAGCATTAGTAAATACAAAATTGCCATCAGTCGGCCATTTTAAAACTGATTGTCAAACTCAATACATCTGTCTATGACATGAAACAGATCTGAAAAAACAAAATGACATGCATCAAGGTCCCATAATGTCTAATGTATGTACCAAATTTGAACAAAATCCATGTAAACAGCAGAGATCCGGTTTCGGAATGCCAGAAGTGTTGATGATTTTTCAACACAAAAATAGCCACCATTCAGCCATCTTGAATCAGATCGTGAAACATTGATGTGTATACGTATAATATTATGTATGATATAGTCGGTCCAGGTATTAAGATATAGGTTCGGACACACACTCTGTCAATCCATAGGTCCCGTTTTTTGAACTTCAACTGAATAGAAAATAAAGGGTGCTATTCAATGACACCATATCATAAAATGATAAGCTACCAGTTTAATGCAATTATGCCAAATTACACATTTCTATTCAAAAGTTTTCAATGCCAATATTCTGTCCATATCCGCTGGACTGAAGTTTCTTGATGGGTTCTGGGAGATGAATAAGGAAGAAAATCATGAAGACTTACTTATAATAAAAAATAAAACATATCTGTGATATCTGCTGCTGAACGTACAAGAAAATGCTTCTATCACACAAATGGATACACAAAACCAAATGCTTCGTTTTCAGGCTATACCTGCAGAGGAACTGAATAGTACAATTTGAGTAGTATCCTTTGAATTACCCCCAATGACAAGATGTGCAATGGAATCTGTTCCAAATAAAATTTACAATTCAATTAAACAGTAATTACATGTAATTAATGTATGCATATAGAGAACTGCAATTCAATTAAACATTGAATTAAAATTTTAAATTTTATTGACTTCAATTTAAATTCAATGTTAGTTATACAATCAGGTGCATGTACATATGTTATAGTAATTAAGCTGGATCTGTGGTTATACAACTCCTGGTAAATCAAGTCATTTGTATAAATTAGTATTTGTCATTTTTTCATAGGCAGATAAATCAGAATTTGTTGACATGTGCACATTAGTACCCACCCAAATGTGCACACTTTGTGTAAAGCATTTTTTTAACTTAGGTTAAACCATAACTTTGAGGAGTTGGGAGTACTTATAACCCCAACTCTGACGGATTTGTTTTACCGATAGATATGACAATATTAATTGGTAGCACAACTGATCACTGAATAGAGAAATAGGCAAAGTACCATAGTGCATTTCACTGGATTGTCACAGTATACATGTACATGTCATTATATTGCAAATGGTAGCCATGGCAACCCATGGCTTTCAATGTTACACCAACACTCACTGGTAGTATTTTGTAAATTACACTTGGCCAAAAGAGGTGTTCAAATATATGAATCTTACATAACAGTAACACAAAAACATATTTTATTCCTACATTAATATTGCAATTAATTTTATATAGCAATTGGATATACTCTGACATAAATGTACTAAATGTATAAATTACAGTTTTCTGAATATAAACATCTTAAGTACTACTGTGTAGATTTAAATACAATTTTAATTCCATGTAGTTCATAAAACTATGCACAATAAGCTATCAACACTAATTGCATAGTGATCAAATAGGTGAAGACAAATTCAGCATACATATACAATACACATCAGCAATTTGAAATAAAAATTCTGCACATTGTGGCTACTTACATGTAATATGCACTAGACGTATCTTAATTATTTTACATTAAAAATTGGTTCATAGAAGACAAACCAGTTTAGATCATAAAATCAATGATGTCACTATACATCGATCCATTGTCACATATATCAAGAAACAGTTTGACTTCTAATTTGAGCAAGAGAGTTACAGCCCTATACATTGATGCATATAAGGAATTATCGATGCTGTAAGAACTGCTATCGCCATGTATGTGAAAAACTTTCTTGGAACTTCAACGTAAACTTGTTCATTTCTCTTCTCATTCAATGGCAAAATTCTGAGAATAGCATAGGCTACTTTTTTAATTGAAGCACTTATGACAAACCGTGTTGCTAATAAAATTAGAATTCCTGATGACATTTTGAGTATCATAAAAAACATCCAGCGTAAATCGGGCACAGTAATAGTATATGGTGAGTCACCTACTGGCTCAAAGGGTGGCAAATTAAAGTGCACTTTGAACCATAATCCAACCAAGGTCCCAGTACCAATACCAAGCAGTAGAGTCGCTTCACCTCTAGACATTGTCCACTTATTGAAGGTTGGATAAAAGATCGCCATGGAAATTCCAATGCCAAATGCTAAAGTTGCACCATACTTTCCATTAATAAAAATATCCTCGATGACATCAAGATATGGATATATTACAGCCATCAAGACAGCAGCCAATACTAACCCAGCAATAACATCCTGCAAAACAGTAATAACTAAATGAAACAGTATATACTGGTACATAAAGTGAACTCTTGTCTTCCTGAAAACAGGTTCTGTCAAAGTCTGAACACATTTTTATGCTCAGTACACAAGTTATGATGATTTTAGTTGTAGAGATTTATGTTTACTATTTAAATTACAGGTTTTAGTGAACAAATGCATGTACTTGAACTTATAACTATTTGCGTTTATGAAATCAAAAATGATGAGTACTGACAAAGTTGTCAGTTTCATCAGGTTGTAAATACCAAATACGAGTACAGTAAAACCAATATTAAGTGGGGGGGGTCCCATTGAAAAGGTTTGTAACAGTTGTTATGTCAATTTTTTTTTACCAAGGTTTTTTGAGGCTCAACTGACCTCTTGTACCCAGATTTTGGACATTTCAACAAATTGCAGGTAATTTCATGGCAAAGCAATTTGAAAGAGTTCCTTTTGTACCCCTCCCCATCCCTAACCCTACCCCTACCCTCCAGCACTCCCCATTTAATTGTACATGCCCCTTCTAAGGACATCTATAGTTATCTAGAGGGGGCATATACAAATGAATTGGGTAACTGGGGGTTAGTGTTAGAGTTAGGGTTAGGGTTAGGGATGGGGAGGTACAAAAGGAACTCTTGCCAAGCAATTTTGGGTAATTTTTGTGTAAAAAATTACCCCAAATGTCAATCTTTTTTGGTCGAGTTTGTAACTGGCTCAGGACACCCCCCCCCCCCAGCACACTTAAATCAAAATGAACATGTTCTGCTCCAACAAAATTAGGAATCAATAAAAATGTGAATAAAAGAAATGGTTAAACACAAAACTTACCAGAACATTGTGCATTCCAAGATAAAGACGAGAAATACAGACTAAAGTACACCAAGTCACAGCGATAGCAACTCCCAGATAGTATGGATACTGCGGGGGAAATTGGTATAATTAGTGAACTTAAATTGGTAGTATTACCAACCCTCGGAATGAGTGAAAAGTGATGTGTACGCATGGTTTTGATACATAATAAAAATGCATGAATTTTGATATATCAGATATAAACAGCAAATGCCATTAGAGAAAACCACCTAATGGGTCATTAATATTTTTTACATTATTACATGTAACTGTATTGTAGTAGATTTTATATATCTAACTTGTTATGCTTATTTTAACACTTTTATTACATTTTATAAACCAAAATAGATATGTAATTCATTCTATAAGGTTGTAATAAAGAATTATCTTATCTTATCTTATAGGAAACTGCAAGCAAGTATAAACTAATTTTGGCAAAAAAGGACTTAAGAATGTAAGAGAGTTTTTGGGACATGTTTGGCACATCAAAATTAACTTTTTAGTGTATCAAATTCTATGAAAATTTCAGAACTCTATCATAAATAGACCATGCTTAAACAGTGGTTAAATTTAACCTGCATTGTTGTGATGACTCAATTTGAACATTCCCATTTATTTCAAATGATTAATAAATTACACAGCAAAGTATGAAATAGTTTTAGAATAACTTTAGGTGCTTACCTATTCTCTACATTTTACTTGACATTGAAACATTCTTCACAAAAGATTTCATGACCATTTAAAAAATATCAATGCAGCAACCACACAATTCATCTATTGATTAGTGTACATCTTTGTTCTAATTCTGACATCAAAATCATCAATCTAATGTTTAATACTCAGAAAGCACTCATTAAATATTTTTTCAGATTGTAGATGTATTAAACATGAAAATAGTCATTTTTGTTAAATTCACGCATTCTGCAATTAAGGATTTATTTACTCAGCAGTCACATGACCACACTAAGGTTGTATCTAACCTAACATTGATTTTTAATTAGTGTGAATTATAAGGTTTCATAAAATTAGATAATTTGATATGGTTTAAAATAAGTCTTAGTGAATTTTACTTCCTGGGAATCTCTACTGCATTCTTAACGCGATGTAAACAAATAACGGTAGTTAGACAACACAATACAAAGCACAGTTACGGAGAAGCAGCTGGCGCCGTGACAAGGGGTGTGTGTACCATGAATAGAAGAGGGTAATGAACTCTAACCGACCTCAAATCGTTGAACGGTGAGAAGAAATAATGTGAACGGCAAACTTAATCCCATCATGGCGTGTGTGGATGGCATGCCGTACTCCATATTGTAAATATGTTCCAACTTAACGACAGGAGGTGATGATGGTCTTGGCCATTTGACGATATCCTTCGCTGCCTGTCCGAAATACATAACAATAGCCCAGATAATGGCCACACGCCTGGTTACCCATACCGACACATTCCAGCAACAAAATGGGAAAAATGCCATGTAGAAAATTTCATTTCCAAGCATGGCACCGAAGAGAAATATATAATACCAGAATTTGTTGTGAATAACATAATCGGTGGATCTGTCATTATGCGGGCAGTACGTTGTATTACTGACAGAGTTTAAAATGATGCCTTTACCGGCGCGCCCATTATGTTGTACAGTCGACCGTGATCGCACGGTGGATGCGATGGTAGATGTGGCGATCGTGTCTTTGATCCTATATTCCATCTTTACAAATCCATTATTGCAATTTCGGACTGGAGACGAAGCACTGAGTGAAAACGTGTCACGACCATTACCCGACTGTCCAAACGTCATGTGTTCTGTACACTTCACGGCGTTTTTGATATCAGAGACGCCATTACTGTCAACCTCTTCGTCAGAAGTAGAACGGCACATCACCTCAGAGCTTGTCACAAATTCAACACCAAAACACCTTTGAATACTTGCCACGGTCTCCGAACCGCTGAGAAACTCCCACAAAGAAGACATATTTTAACGTGGGTTACAGCAAAACTAAAACAGGCATCAGATAAATACGAACAGTCCCACAAAATCCAACCCAAAAAAGCACGCCTTTCTACGAACTTTGAACCATCATCGTGATTGATTGCTGGACGAGCTGATTCTCTGCATAGGGGGAATCCCAACGCTAATGTCCCACATTCACACATTTTCCACACCTGCACCAATATGTATATAAACTATTATCATGAACTGGGAATTCAGTATTGATACATCAAAACAGGATGATTGTCGCGATTATCAATTGTTCAGTAAGCATTCTACGTTGCACCATGGAGATAGAAAAGACGTTACCTCCATGGTTGCACTGTATCAACTTATAAATATGTATGAGTACAATTTCAACGTCAAGCCGGACGTAGAATTCTTGGTAGCTCAATAAAGGATCAGGCGTTTGCTTGACTGCCGACAGTCGCCATGACAATCGGACAGTCGGTGTTTCCGATAATTCTGATCTTTGAACCATTACTGGTACGTACCATCACAGTTACTAAAATATCGTGGTATCATGCAGGGACATAAATGTACCAAAATGAGCCAAGTACGGGTGAAAAGTACTTTTCAGAAAATAGCGAGTACAGGTGATATTTGTAGCGAATACGGATGGTATTTATAGTGAGTACGGGTGGTAATTTAGCGAGTACATGGAGGCAATTTAGTGAGTACGAGTGATAAAATGTATCCAGCATGGGGCGTGGTCGTAAAATATAGCGAGTACGGGGTGAGGGTATTGCGGGGTAAAAATGTATATATTTATACAACAATTACGGGCACAGCAAAACACTCAATTGAGAAAGAAAATAGTAGTGGTACGAACTAAAACTAGTTCAATCTAACGAACCGAAACTAGTTCCATCTTACAAAAACTAAATGGAGACGTGAAGCAACCATGTTTAATTAATTATATATTCACGCAGTTTGACCCCTATGACGTAGCAAAATGAATGCCTCGTAAACAAAAGTGCCCTGCAACTGACCAGACAAGTGTAATCATGGAACTACGATAATAAATAAATAGACTCGTTCCCCTTGGCCTGACGAGAGTGACGCAACAGTGTTCGTAATAACACTTTTGTCTAAATATAACCATAGACCTTGGAAAAAATATGCGATAAATAACCGTATTTTTCACCCGTACTTGGCTCATTTTGGTACATTTATATACCATTTATAACAGATGATCAAATACTGGTATCGAATAAAAAATGCCTGAAAATTCTCTGGTATATGAAGCATACAGTCTCGGCTTAGAACTAGACAACTCTGGCACCTACAACTGGGTTTCCGGGTTAAAACTTATACTTAAAGATCTAGATATAGACCATTTGTGACAGGAAGAAAAAAGCAAAATGCGAACAATGTATATATAGATAAAATAATAACAGAAAAACTAAAAACAAAGTTTGAAAAAAAATGTAAACAGATTTTAGACAATGATAACAAAGGGAAAAATCACAAAAATAAATTGCTCACTCACAGAGAACTGAAAACAGACTTTGGCTTTGAAAACTACTTACACGTAGTTAAAAATATTCATCACAGGTCATCAATGACAAAATTGAGGATTAGTGCTCACAGACTACAAATAGAGACTGGGAGATATAACAACACAGATATATCTGACAGAAAATGTCTATGTTGTGTAAATAACGCCATAGAGGACGAAGAACATTTTCTTTTAACATGTGATCTCTACGCGGGAGAAATAAAAAACTTTATCAGCTGTTATCACCCCACATTTAGCAAACAATAAAGAAAAATTAAAAAATATTTTAAATAATAAAGATGAGAAAACAATAATACAAATAGCAAAATATATATAGAAAATATAAGAGGAAAGATTGACAACATTATAGTCAGCTATCTCAAGATAAGGTCATGTACATGCAGTAGTAAAACATTTACCGTGACAAATGTGGAAAACAATCCAATTTACTTTACCATTATATTTTTTTTCTACTTTTATTTGCTCGTTGTTTTTTTCATTTTTTTTCCTGTGTGTATTTTTATTCTCACTTTAATTGTTTGTTTGTCTTTATTCACATCTGTATTGCATTTTATTCAAAATCCTAATAGGGATACGAACACAATAAAGACATTATTATTACCTCGCAGGGAGGTATACCAAACCAAAAACCAAAAATAGGAAAGAGAATTTGCGAACTGTGGTTAAACTATAAAGTAGAAGATAAGTACCATTTTATTATTAATAGACCCTTTTACGAAAAATCGCGAAAAGCACTATTTGAAGAGACTACTAAATACATTATAAACTTCATGAATATGAGTGACTACAACATTTAAAAAAAAAAAATGTGTGATACAAACCTGAATATACAAATACCAGTTGCTCAATTTATCAAAAATAACACGAACCTTAGACAGCAACACCTTCTGACAAATTAACATACATATTTTTCTCCTTTAATACTCCATGTTTTATTGATTTATATTGCTTATTTTTTTGTTATTACCACCATATATTTCAATAGTAGTTTTTTAATCATTGTCGTGCTTTAGATACTAATTTTTGTAGAATTTGTATGTTTTAAATATGTGTTAGTTAGTGTAACCATTTTAATTCTTTCTAATAAATTGTTTCAATAAACAAATCATTAGGAATGTTATGATGAATGAATGAAAGAATAAATGGTCGACGTATTAAACTGTTCGCGATAGTATAAATCAGGAATGGCCGGGAAGAACGTTTCATGTACGAGGACAGACTGACCTATGATACAAAGTGACTGTACACCCACTGATCCCAATAAAAATAAAATCAACCAGACGTCCACTTTTCCGAATTTAAACACATACACATGGTTGCTGAATTCAATGATTTATAAGATAAGGGCACGTGATACTAAATACGAAGTTCCGCGTAATGTAAATGAGTGAGTCTGCAAAAGTACCGGTTATTATTCGTCTCGACATATTTGGCGCTTGTGCTTATTCGTAAGCATGTAATAAGTCGTCTTCGCCAGCCAAGAACCATTTATTCGACCGAAGCCTCAACATTCGTTTAGCGTAATCGTGCGATTCGGATGATGTTATTAAGTGTGCTGTCTTGAAATTACGATAATCTCGTTTGTATTTATTTACATTGAGTTCAATTGAAATGCACACGAAATGTCCACGGAAAGTTACTTTCTTCGTGTAATACGTGACCTATACTATATGCTGTACTATTCTTGCTGAATGTTTTTACTAATTTGGATATAGAATTAAAGATAATCAAAAGATTATAACATATAATATCACACATGAATAAGAAGAACTAAACTGTCCTTGGGTTTACATAGTTGCACCATATGATATACAATGGATACTTATATGAGGGGAGGCAAGGGGGTAGCTGGTACGGTTTTACGGGAAATAAAAAGTGTTGTTGTTTTTTACAGTTTACAAAGAAAAAAAGACGTTTTTACAGTTTACAGTGTTAAAAAATGGAACATTGAATGGTCCGAAGAGCTCTCCGACTCAAATTCTCCGCCACTACTACGCCGTATGTAGAGACGCATGCGCATATTACCCTCGTAAATGCTCTTCATTCGGTTAGAGGGCCTTTTACGTCTTGACATTCAATTTTGTAGTGAATTGTGTCATCTAGTCGTTTTACAGTTTCTAAAATGTAATTTCCCTGGATTATTTTTTACGATTTTTTTATTTGCATGTAAATTCTTGTACGTACCGAGAAAATGACACATTTTTACAGTGTACGAAAAAATATTTGATTGATTA